CAGAATATACCACAGAGTGGCGGCCAGGAAAAGGCTAAAAGGAGAAAATAATGACATGGCCTCCTTGGTCACCTGATCTGAACCCCATGGAGAACCTGTGGTCCTTCATGAAAGGTGAGATCTACAGGGAGGGAGAACAGGGAGGCTGCTGCACGCCATGAGGATCGCACACAGATCTAGACTCTGACAGGATCTATGGATGGAAGGATTTAGAGCGTCATGGTGGAGAAAGGAGGTTATATTGGTCACTGATTTGTTTATTTCTGTTTTTTAAAAGTCGCAAATGTTTATTTCTGAATTTTGAGTTATATTGGTTTGCCTGGTAAAAATAAACAAGTGAGATAGGTATATATTTGTTTTTTATAACGTTGCCTAATAATTCGTCAAAGTAATATTTATCTGCAGGCACGGACATCCTCATAAAATGGCCAAATCTAAAAAGAAACACATCAACTTCAAAAAATATGAAACTTTGATATTAAGGAGTCTTTTGGGTTGATTGAGAACAAAATGTGGCCCAATAATCAAAATAATCCTCAAAAATACAACCTGCCTAATAATTCTGGACACAGTGTATAGAGATAGGTCAGGATAACCTGCGCCACTCTAACTTTAAGCTTTAACAAAAAGGAAAATCTTCTGTCAGCACAAGGTCCAAAGTATGAGGATGAGAATGTGTGGGACTATGCACATTTTGAACAATGATTTAAAAATTGAGGGGCTGAACTTGTAGCTTCAGGTATTACTTTTTGGTTTTACCCGGTTTTTTTACACCTTGATCCGATTTTTTTCTTTTTAAGTGCTGTTATAATTTTAGGATTTGCTAAATGCAATAGGTTTCCCAGGAACCACTCTAAAGGGGTGTTTTCTATCTTTGTTTGAACTAAACGTTTTTGTGTGATATGCAAATAGATTTGTTTTTTATTATGTTTGTTCCTAACAGGGAGATCCTGGCCCTGTCGGACCATCCGGACCAGTTGGAGAACCTGGACAGGGAATAACTGGACCTAAAGTAAAGCCATCACACATTAAACCAAGTCATGAGAAAAACAAACAAAGTCATGTTACATATGATGTTTATATGAAGGCTATATTTAGATAAAATTAATTTAGTTCCATTCTCAATAAATAAAATAAAATAAAAAGATGCATTTCATTACAGATGATTAAACATAAAAACTTTTTCACTTCAAGCTCCAGTGTGTAATTATTACAGGGACGTACTTTCAGAAATGTGATATATTACCAATACAGACTTTATTACAGATCCTTCTCAAAATATTAGCATATTGTGCTAAAGTTCATCACTTTCCATGATGTAATGATAAACCTTGAACATTCATATATTTTAGATTCATTGCACACTAAATATTTCAGGTCTTTTATTGTCTTAATATGGATGATTTTGGAAACAGCTCATGAAAACCCAAAATTCCTATCTCACAAAATTAGCATACCATGAAAAAGTTATCTAAACGAGCTGCTATGCACCTAATCAGCTGAATCAACTAATTAACTCTAATCACGTTTAATTTGGGTTTTCATGAGCTGTATGCCTATATCATCCGTATTAAGATTTGGATAATGACGATTGATAATTAAGCTGATAAGCATAGAAAGTGAGGTTGTTTTTTTTATTGCAGAAGCAACACAAAGTATTGACACCTGTATTTACTGATCTCTGCAGTCATAACGAGGGGAACAGAAGAAGAGATCATGGAAGCAAAGTTTTCACACAGGAAGAACATTTAATCATATCTTCTCACCAACAGCTAAAAGCTTCTTGCTTTTTCTAATAACAGGAATCAAATCACCAGAGTTGTGAATTTCTAAAACTCTAGAGCGCCTCAAAAAATTACCTTCAACCCTTTTTTTTTTTCCACTTCTCTCTTTTGCATCCATTTCTTTCCCATTTCAGATCAGGCCTCCTGTCACACCTTGCTGATTTCTCCAGCGTCTGCCTGACGTCCAAGAATCACCTAAAAAGCTGGCAGACGTTGAACTTTCTATGGATTTTTTTTCTATTCTGGGCGTAAACATAGAGTATTCATAACGAGTCCAGAACTTCAGTCCAACTGTCCTAACTTCAGCAT